GATCTTATTTGGCGTTTTCTAGCTCCCCCGCCTTGAGCACCACGCCGCCGCCGCCTCCGTCGAGAGCGGCCTACCGTCCGTCGCGGTCGAGCCACCACCACCACCACCACCACTACCAGCAGCATCGCCGGTGCGAGCGCGGCGGAGAGATGCCGCTTTCGTGGCCCCTGCCGTCTGAGTCTCCGTCTTCTGGTGCAGGCGGCGGCGACGGCGGCGGCGCTCCGGCGGTAGCCACTCTCACCGCTCCCGTCATGCCGACGACGCGGCAACACTCCTACCGGCAACAGCAACGACAGCGACGGAACCTGCTGGCCGAAAACGCCATCGATGGGGGGCGTGAGACGGCAGGAAGCCGAAGAGCTTCCTCCTTCCGCGGCGGCGGCGACGGCGGAGCAACGTTTAGCGGCGTCGACCAAGGCACCTCCGACGAAAACGCGGCCGAACCGGCGCTGGTTGCTCCGCCTTCGCCGCCACCGCGGCCTAGTCACGCCGGCGGCGGCGGGGGAGGGCAGGGGGCGGCGGCGGCGGCGGCGGCGGCGGCGGCGGGTCCGGCGGCTAGTTTTTCCGTTCCGGGTTTTTTCACGCCGAGGCGTTCGTTGACCAGGAGGAGGGCCCCGCTCTCCCCCGCTTTGTCGGCGAGTCCGCCGGCGGAAGCCCGAAGCTTGCGGTCGGCATCCGCGTCGTCGATCGCGGGCACGCCGAGGAGACTTTCGAGGGGCTTTCGTTCGGCTTCGGCGCGTGGGGATAGCCAGCTTCAGGTCGGTGTGTGTGTGTCTTTTATGTGTTTTGTGTGTGTTTTTTCTCGCTATGAAACGGACGAACTCGCAGTCTTCTTCCGACTGGTGCTCGAGGGGACTACTGACTGTTGCTGGTGCTGCTGGTGCTGCTGGTGCTGCAATTGTTGTTGTCGCTGCTGTCGTTGTTTTTGTTGATGGCGGTGTTATCACCGGGGAGGTAGATATTGTCCGCCCCCCCGTTATACGGTTTGCGTTTGTTCCTTGTACTGTTTTTCTTGCTTGTAACAACACAACGAGTTATCCCTATGCAGTTCAAGATAGATTAGCAATGAAATTATTCACGATGTTGCATTGAACACAAGCCGGTCGCCCCGGTGGTCTAGTGGGTAGCCTCGTAACCTTCTAGAGGTCAGGTCAGGGGTTCGAATCCCGGCGTAGGCCAGCTTTTCTTGCAAAGTGAGTTTTTTCTCTCGCTTCCGCTCCTGGCCAAGTGGATAGCGCTAGTTCGTGTGTACACAGAGGGAAGAGAGTGCTGAACTCTTCTCGCATTAAAAATTGAAGACGAAGTACCGCAGGAGGGGAGGGTAGAGAGAGGCTCTTCTGTGTGACCACGGGTTGGAATAAACGGAACTAGTGCTGTGAGCGCTGATTTGAAGTGAAGAACAAAAAAAAAAAAAAATGCCTACCCTTGTTTACTATTATAGTCTCCACCTTGATTATGTCGTTTCGTCCAAACGGGCGCGAGTGCTTCGCCACGATGTACCACCCCCCTACGCGATAACTCTTCTCGAGCGGTTTCCATGTGACGTTACAAATAGTTTTTGCTCCGAGAGAAAAAGTACCAGAATGCATGCATACCCGTGTATCACGCACACAGTTTCCCCCCCTGTTTTTGGGAGAAAATAGTCGCATGTCTCGGATGATGTCGTGTACACACAAAGCCCGGACATTCTTCTCAGTGTTAGCCCCTAGTCCCCCCCCAACGTGCACGAGTTGCGCCCGCTTGGAGGTGGTTGCCGTGCGTTGTGACGGCCGGAGACATCTCGTGGCGCGTCCGTCTCCCAGTCCGATTCTTGGCATGCCTCGTCCTCGGACCACACTTTGCCCCTGTCCGACACAGCAGCAGTATGGCCCGGACACGGATTAGAAGTGGGCTTAGGGCTGAGCAACTGACAAGAATCTCATCGGCGCCGCCTTCTTGTGCTCCCGCCGTTTTTTGTACTTGTACATTTTTTTTTTTTGGCGAATGCCGAAGGTGGTGATGTGCTCCAGCTGCGGCCGCGCGGGTTTCATCCAGTCTTCGGAGGCGCTGTCCAGCCGATCGGCCTTCTTTTGCAGCTGCGGCAGCCCGGTCGTCCCCGCCTCGGCGTTGCAGCTCCTGACGGCGACGCCGGGAGAAACTTCGATGTCTTCGGTCGCTCAGCACACGGGGGCGTCTCCGCAGGTAGGTTCGTCTACTCGTTGTGTGGGGGGAGGGGGCATACTCATCAGGAAGTTTGCATACAATCAAAGAGAGACTGACTACCCGTTCGAGATATACTCGCGTTATGGTATGCCTCTGCGGTTAAACCGTCCGTTGACCACGCGTCCTCGAGCATTGTTCCCACAGGACTGATGGCCAATCGTTCCTTCCCACACTTTGCCTGCCAGAGGTTGTTTGGGAGATATCCGTTCTTGAACACGGTGCGTTCCTCCCGTCGTGGTCATATACCGGTAGCCTCTGCAGCAGGGTCATTCCGACAACGTGGGGGAAAGGGACTTACGTATGGGTTCTGGCGCCGATGTTTTCTTGTTCTTTCCGGCAAACCCATATGTCTACGTAGCAGAATGCAGCAGTAGAGCTCACCCCAGACCACAAGCTTTTCGTGTCTGATCACTGGGTGCTCCTGTTGCGGTGCGTCTCCCCCCCCTTGCTCCCGTCTGTCTGTCTGTCTGTCTGTCTGTCTGTCTGTCTGTCTTTTCTCTCTGTGTCTGTTCTCTTCATGCTCTGTCTGTCTGTTTGCCTGCCTGTCTGGTCTCATCCCTTGTTTTCCTTTTCCGTCGCTGTGTTTCTTTTTGGCGGTGTGGTGGGTACACGCGTGACATGCCACCGATAATGCCACGTATTGTCGTTTTTTTCAATGTCACCGAAAAGCAGCTCGTCGAGCGCCTTCCCACGATGCAGTACCATGAAAACTCTCGGAAAGTTCTAGCGGCGGAGCACGGCGAGGAAGATAAGGTGGGAGACATGTCACTGCAGTACAGAAACACCTTCCTCCGGAGGGAGCCTTCCATCAAAATGCGTGCAATGATCTTTCGGCCATGGATACCCTCGTCCACAACCAAATACCTTCAGTTTCTTCCGAGTTGGTGCACTGTGAGAACGCAGGCTCCTAAGTGTGCCGAGAGTGAAATGAATTGTGAGAAAGGCGAAGGTGGAGGGCGGAGTCTAGGGCACCGCACATCATTTTCGTGTTCGACAACCCCGCAATGTGGGTATCAAGAGATGGAAGGCGGCCTATGTGCGTCTTCAACGCTTTTTCCTCTCGCGCCTCCATTGGTTGGTGGTGGCGCGATACCACAAAGGTTTTAGAGACACGCCTATGTTAGGGCTGTTATCCAAGGTTCTTGGTACCAACAATGATATGCCCGAGACCATTGACCTGTGCACACGACGATCATATCACCCCCTCGTACTGGTGCCAATGTGTGGGGCGTGTCGCTGCCCCCAGGTGTCCTGCCGGGTGTGTCTGAGCGACTACGAGGCAGGGGACACGCTTCGCATCCTCCCTTGCCTGCATAAGGTAACAGTCTTGGTTGTCGTTGTCATAAAACACAGCGGCGAATTGTTCTGCTTTGTTTTAGCCATTCGCATCTTCTCTTGCCTGCATAGGTATTAGTCTTGGCTGTTTGCTGCTGTCATGAAACACGTGCTGTAAAAAGCAAATTGTGAAAAACAAATGGGCGAGTGATATCCTCCCTTGCCTGCATCAAAAGGTTGGTCTTGATTGTTGCTGTTATGAAGCACAACTGCACTTTTCAACCATCGTACCAAAGAGGGGTGCGATCTCCTCTCATTCAAAGCACGGCGGTGTAAATAACAGTTGAATCGACCCATTCTATCCGTACTGGTTTGACTGCCACATACCATGACGAATCAATTGCTTGATTCCAAGAGGGAACGATATTGCTAGAACCGCTGAGCGATGCTCACGACGAAGGAACGTGTATATGCATAGCAAGGTAGACATCAATAAGCGGGTACACAGTGCAACATAACCAAGCAAGGCGTTGAACGTCGTGCTTTTCTCTTTTTTGGGTCCACGGCGGCCAGTGTATCGTGCATCGTGCTTGTAAATGCTGCTCGTATCTGTGAAAAGTTTCAGACGCTTGGTCTGAGCCTGTGGTTAACATCCGGATTCCTGGCAGTGAATGAATTCACTTTTCGATGGCCACAGCATCATGTGCAACACACCCGGGTTATTTGGCGCCCGTGTGTTGTACCCGTACACGAATCTCCCATTGTCCTCCCCCACCCTTTCAGGCCTCTCCTGTAAAACCTGTGGCAATGATAGCCGCATAAGGGTTTTGTCAACGAATGCGCGCGCTCTCGTCCCGTCTCTGTGCCTGTCTTTCTTTTTTTTTTTGCCGTTAGTTTCACCGGGAGTGCATCGACGAGTGGCTCGGTAGGTCGGTGCTGTGCCCGCTCTGCAACACCTCGGTCGAAGTGGCAGAAGACTCGCACGTGACCTGCTGCGGATCGTCGTCGTCGTCGGAAACGTCGGAGACGTCGGCATCAGCAGCTTCAACCTTCTCGAGGGGCTAAGATTGTTTTTTTTTTGCGTGAAATGCCGATAGACGTAGAGGCGTTAGGAGTACCTTGCGTGTGACCCCCCCTTCTCTTGCCCCCCCGTCTTGCCAGCAGTGCCGTACGCAGTTGCTCCCGCTAATACCGTAGTCGACACAAGATACCCCATATGGTAGACCGATTTTCAAAGCTCGATTTTCTCCACGACGAAGAGGATTTGAAAACCGTACGTTGTCGGGAAAGCTCTCTCTCTCGACCAGACGGCTTCAACGCCGCCGTTTTCGGCGCTGCTACTCTTTCTGCTGTGGAGAAGCCGAGAAAATCAATCACCGGGATGTGATACATACCAAATGTCGCCTACCGTGGCCGGTATTGGACTAATATTTACCCTGGCGGGTAATTGTGGAGCCGATGTGGGCGGCGAGCAACTGTTTTTTCTTTTTTGGGCGTGCGCGGCGGATTTTTTTTACGCGCCAAGTCTCGTCGGTTGTCTCCTTGGTGTTTTTACCCGCGCGTCGCAATGGCATTGCCTATGGGCGACGAGCAGCAAGCGAAATTTTCCTCCTGTCTTTTGCGCGTTGCGACGACAATGCATGGAAGTCAGTCGTCCGACATCACGCCCCCCCCCGGGGCAAAGAAGGCCACGCCAACAGGCCGGCTGCTTGGTTGCATCGTTGGGTGGCTGGGTCGGGTTGTTGTTGCTTGCTGGAAGCGAAGCTTGCGCAGCCAGTGCAGCCAGTGAGTCTTCACGTACGTCAGGCCATTGGAGGCCGTCGTTCAAGCTTTCGATGGACTGGTTCCTCGTTTCGTTTCCAACATCGTAGGAAATTGATGTCTTCCTTTTATCGTGCGTGGTCTCCTGTCCTAGTCGCTGCTCCGTGGGTGGGCTGTTTGCCCTCGCGTTTGCCGCAACGCGAACCTCACGCCGAGAGTGAGGGGTTTTCTTATGATTTGGTGTTCTGTATCTGTGTGCCTTGTGTATTTGTTTCATGTTCTTGGTGGGTAGAGTGTTTCCTCGACGGAACGTACTGCGTATTGTGTGTGTTTCCTCTAGTGCTCAACTGTTGGTCTACTGCTTGCGTTTCGATACCAAACGCGTGTTCTTTTTTTTAGTGTTCTTGTTGGGATGCTGCGTCTACCAAAGTAGTACTTCTACACAGTTTGGATGTTTTCGTCACACGAAAAATTACGGGGCACGAGGGGTGTGACCGTTTACGTTGTTTTACTTGATTCCATCTCTCTCGGTGACGCCAATGAGAGGGATTTGTCCTCGGGAGATGTCGGGGAGGAAGATTCTACCCTTTACGAAGCGGATCTCCACATTGATTGCCTCTCGAGAATAACTATCATCTCAGAAGCTGGGAGTGTGTGCATGTGCACCCGCGCGATTAAGTAGGTGGCGTCTCAGCGGATCGAGCAGCAAATCTCGAGCTCCCACTGTCCACGACGGACGTTAAACGTTCCCAGGACGAGTCGGCTTCTTCCACTTCTGATCTCGGTCTGTGCCCCCCCCCGGAGCATGTACGTGCCGCCGAAAAGCCGCGGTAGTCACTCTTGAGCAAGACATGCTCCTGAACCCGAAGATCTCTGAGACGCCGGTCTCTCGGTCCATGTTGAACGTCTTCGAGACCTACCCTGACACCACCGGGCGGAACGAACGTCCGGGTGACGCGAAAATGGTCCTCAGTTTCATTTCGATGCGGCGGGGTGGGGTGAGCCCACCTGTTATGAATACAGTGGTCTTCGAGACCTACCCTGACGCCATCGAGCGGAACGAACGTCCGGGTAACGCGAAAATGGTCCTCAGTTTCATTGCGATGCGGCGGGGTGGGGTGAGCCCACCTGTCATGAATACATCATGCATTTCGGGCGTTTTTTTTCAGCGGTCACTCTCATGTTTTTCGCTTTGGTTCGTCAGCGGAGCGTGAAAGACGGCGTGGTCGTAGCATTAACCGCGAGGTGTGCTGCACTTCCAAGCCCCTCTCGTGAGATCGTCCGCCGATGCTCTTTACATGCTATACAGCGTATCTTCTGGTTCAGGCTCGTGCTTGAAAAAGGCGGCATTTGTTGCTCCTCCTGCGCACAACCTCCTGCGCACATCTCTTCTCGTGTGTCGAGAGAAAAAAAGGCTGCCACGCAAAGAGCATTTTGCTCGGAGAGTACGATGAAGCGAAAAACCGTATTGAAGTCATTGCAAAAAAAGGTTTCCATGACGCGCAAAATTACCAGTCAGTACACCTTCCACAAAAACGCGAAGGCAACATACAAGACAACACCAGGAAGAAAGAGCACATGCACAAGCGCAGCGCCTTTTGTTTGCGCGTTTCAAACGCAGCATTCCCTCCCTACTACTGTTTCGATCGACACATGCGATAGAAACCACGCCTTCCGGGACTTACGTTGAAAAGGGCAGCGTTCCCGCCCGACACACATACACGTGTATCAGCAAGACTTTTGAGGGGGCCAGAAATCGGCTAAGGGTCTCCGAACAGGCTGTCCTGCCCATCTTGTCTCGCCTTCGATTGCACGGGATGCCAGGTCCCGTGTTCGCAACGCAATGTACGCGAAGAGCACACCAAAAACGCTGGCGCCAAAACAGAATACAAGTTGCACCCACGTTGATGAAACTTCTAACGAAGCTTTCCACCGCACATGGTTCAACACCACAAAAAAAATAAGGGCTCAAGTTACATCTTTCATAAAAATACACTCGACACTTTTTGTTAATTTACGACGTTTTCTCCCTAACCCCCACGTCTCTTGTTACCTGCAGTGCGCACATGAAAGCCTGGGTTTTCCAAGCAGTCCCCGCTATATTTACCCTCCGTTCACGTAGCTTGCTCTCGCTATCGTCTCTTGCAAGGGACCTGGGTTTCATTTTCCAAAAAAAAAACACCAGCAGCTGTATTTTACCCTCCCTGACTTCACCGCTACTCGCCACCCGAGCACGTATGCAACGCCACCAGGGCTACAATATGCCAAAACGCATAAAAAGTGCCCAGCCGCAAAGCAACAATGAAAGACAGAACGAAAAAAGGCGGCTCTACACGAAAGTATGCGAAGATGCCAACAAAACCCAATCTACGTCTGGTCCCTAGGGTCCCCGCGGACGATACGTTCCCCCCCCTCTCTTTCCATCTCCACAACAATCCGCGGCTCCAAAAAATACTCCGCGGAGTCCGGCTACCGCAGGGCGTCCGTTCTCGTTGCACAACAATAACGCAATGGACAACACGAGTAGACGTTAGACATCCTGGTTGTAGCCTGGTCGAGTGAGCGCATGAGTCAACAACAACTGGTGGACGACAAGTCTCGTCCCCTCTGCGCTCACCGCGCCATTATGCTGCGCGCCCAACCAGCCAATACACGTTGAATCAACCTTGTCCGATGTCTTCGCAATATCCCGCTCCGCAACCCTCAGGTCTCAACTCCCTGTCGAACAGGGCACCTTCAGTCCGGGGCGACGCACACGGCGTTTCATCTGCGGTTGCTTAACGCACGCGCGAGGGAGACCAGCCCTTCTTGTACCCACGGGACAAGCGCGCGTTCCGTAACTCTACCGAGAACGGAGCGCGGAATACAAGACGCCTCGCCCGGATTCGAACCCCCAACCCGGCCGGGAGGTACTTGAGGCCTTCGGGTTTTTCCGCCCACCTACTGAGGGCGCACATCGTTGTAGCACTAGGTGTGAGGAGAACAAAGAAACGACGCTGGCACACATAAAGCGCCTTGCAAGCAAAGCGCAGACACACAAGACGCATACCCACCCCATCTCCTCCGCGTCCCCCCTTCCGGGGGAGGCCGGATGACTGAAGAAACCATCTATAAGGCTGACGATGTCGTTCGAGTGGCCATCCCGTCATTTCGTGCAGTCTACGCCAAAGCAAGAAGCACGGCAAAAAAACACACACACATACAGCACACAACAGCCGATACGCCATCCCCCCCCCGCACGCACCCCGGCACAAAAAAAACAAAATCGCGTTCGTTTCCCGAAAGACAAGTCACACACGCGCGCGCGCGGTTTGTTTCTTGTAGAGCATCTGTGCTCCGAGGTTAGGTATTATTTTCTCCCGCCAAACGACGGCAGAGGCAGCTATAGACGCGCTCAACGTCGAGCCCGAATATCGTCGACGTCGCGCGGGCCCCCCAGCCTACGCCTCCAGCAGTAGCATGTGTCATCCGCGAAGTGAAAAACACATGTGTCTCCCCTACGTGCCCCCTTTCCTCGGAACAAGCGAACGAGTGTTCCATACAAACGCGCGCACCAGCACAACACCCCGTCTAAGCACGCCGCGGCCGAACGGCAGGCACCCCCCAATAGCCTAACAACTGAAGGCATGCAAAACATGACTGACAACGCCCCCCCTCCTCCTTCAGAACGAGACAGTCACCTGACGACCCCTCGTGCTGTTCACGCCGTGATCCTAGACACCAAGGGCAGCCAGCAACATCGAACGAGAGCACCTACAACTGTAGGGGAGAACAAACAGCAGCAGCGGTGCCGCAAGCGCCCTGCTTGCTCCCTCGCACACAACAAGGACCACCAGCAGCAGACGGCAACACAAGGCTACATCTAGACGAAGAAACAAAAATTTCAGGGAGGATCAGAGGCGGAGCAAACCAGCAGCGGGTGGAAACACAAAAAATCTATATAAAGATGTAGAAAAAACAAAAAGTTCAGCGAGGATTAGACGCGGAGCTAACCAGCAGCGAGTGGCAACACAAAAACTCTATATAAAGATGTAGAAAAAACAAAAATTAAGAGAGGATTTAGCCGCGGACCCATTCACCCTCGGGTCGGATACCAACACCGATTGTGCTCTAAACGAGATCAGCCCGAGTAACGAAACGTCGCTCACGGCTGGCCCAACGAGCATCAACAGACTTCGCCGCGCAACCGGGTCTCCGACAATGATTGGGGACTACTACCATGGTCATATACGTGGTAAAGAGTGTAGCACGAAACGCGCCCGGTAAAGAAACTAAATAGCAAAAAATGGTGCGGCGGAAAATGCAGTCAACATCGACCAGCCGGTATTCCAAGGAAATATTTTCCGCAAACAACACATTTGGACAAAAACAAAAAAACGCACGTCTCCACACCACCGAGCCAATCATCCCGGGGCGACAAACGCCACCAACGAACAGGAGAGAGAGAGAAAGATGTTCCTTCCCAGCGCAGACAAGAGGGCCAGAATCTAAAACCTCAAGCTTGCCTCAGATTGCTTGCGTGATCCTTCGAAAAAAAGGAAAGGCATCCTCTCATCCGTCGGCTCTGAACAGCAGCACCGCCACCTGGACGATGCCGAAAACAAAAACACGCACACACACATAAAAAACACAAAATTGAAATGGCGGAAAAGGGTTAGGCGAGCCAGGGTCGGGTTCGCGCAACTGGTGTGTGTGTGACGAGACAACTGATTCAAGTAGAGCCATCTCCCTCCTGTCTGCTTCCGTCCCAGGTTCATAGGGATGCGGGCCCAATGGTCTAACGATCACGGCGTGCACGGTAAAACGAGGACACCCCTGTCTGGCTTCGCTTACAAAAAGTAGGTTAGACGTCAATGGTCTCACGACTACGGCATGTACGGTAAAACGAGGACACCCCTGTCTCGCTTCGCATGCAAAAAGCACGTTCCCTTTCACTGCGATGTATGTGGGCCTGACGTCGTAGCGCCTCTTTCCTCCCTGCCCCCCTCTAGCACCCTCACCTTGCCGAGATGCAGGTGCACGAAGCCGTTCGACTCCGCGGTAACGAAGGACCCGAAGTGTTTCCCGACGATGCAGTGCCACTTCGCACCGTGCCGCTCATCGAAGTCCTTCTTGATGTACGCGGCGATGTCCTGTCAGCAAAAAAAAAACACGAAGAAAGTTTGTCACACCATGCAAGGGCGGTTGGTCGAAGGTGGGGTCAACAGACAAAAGACAAATCTGGGACGGCGGGGGGATGGGAGAGTGAGTGGGGTGGATGGCCTCAAGAAAATCGGGCCGAATAAAAACGATCGTATCGAATGACATCGGGTGCGCGGCGCTTTGCTGCATGAGAGGAGCAAACGCTGGCCAAAATATACTGCTGCGCACTCCTGAAGCACACCATCAATTCCCGTCCACCGTCGTCCGTGTGGCGCCAACGTGGCCAATTATTCTGGACAAAGAACTCCAGTTTGAAAAAAAACGCATTGCTTCGGAAGGAAGCGGTCGGTTTCTGAATGAAAACTTCCCCCTTCGGAATGAAAAAAAACAGTTTCGGAAAGAATGAAACCGTCGGTTTTGGAATGAAAATACGCTATGTATTAAAGTCTCGGAATGAAAATTGTAGGTTTCGGAATGAATTAAAACCGCGGGCCCGGTAATGACAACCACCCCCCTTTTCGGAATGAAACCGTAACCACAGCAGCACTGACTGAATACTATGACATCGGCAGCGACAGACCTGCCAAAGCTGTCGCACTCCTACATGAAAAAGTAGATACCTCGTGGTCCCCAGACTCTTCCATCGCGCGAGCGGTGCTCTCCTTTGCGTCCTCCTGCATTTGCTCCGCCATGTCGGCGGCGAGAATCACCACCCTTTCCACCCTATTTTTTTTTTGTTTTAGCAGACGAACGGGTCGCGAAGACGGAGGAAGGCGTGGCAAGGGAAGCGGGGATATTCAAGGTGTCATTTCATGGAAGAAAAAGGATAAAACGTACTTGACTCACAGCCACGGTTTTCTCGCTCAGGGTGACAAGAAAACAAAACATTCTTTATTACAAGGCTCCCACTCGGGAGTTAGCTGTATGCCCTGCAATTTGCGACCATATTCCCTCCTCACCACTGCTTCAAACACCGCGTGCCGCAGGTCAACAAACGCCCGCCCATGGCCACGGCTACACACATCTTTCCCAACGGTGGTCCGTGTGTTTTAGTGGCAGCGTGTTTGCATTGCTTGCCTTTTCCGCCTGAGGCCGGGCGTCCTCGTGAAGGCGCTGTTCCTGACGGAGTAATCGCCCTCGCCCGCGGTGTTGAAGCTGCCGAGGCTGCCGAAGCTCCTGCTGTTGCTGAGGTGTCGGACCAGCTGCTTGTTCTGTCCGTCGTGCAAAACAACAACGGGGGTTATAAAAGAAACAAGCCAAAGGAACAAAATCTCAAGAAAACAGAGCGGCTTGCGAGTCGTATGAATAAGGCTGGCAACAATGAACGCTTTTTCGACGTTGTTGCCGTTGCTGAGGTGCCGGACCAGCTGCTTGTTCTGGCCATCGTGCAAAAACGAAGGCAACAAAACAAACAAAATCCAACCACCCAAAAAAACCAAAAAGGCACCCGAGAGATGAAAGGCCACTTCCAACATCTTCGAGGCCGTTTGTCGCTGCTAATGACAATGAGTCCGTGAAGACGCCAAGCAGACATGTTTGCGGTTCAAAGACCGCCCATTCGGGTAAATGAGGAAAATTAACGAGCATAGATGTTGTTCGGCTGACGGGTTAGGTTGAGGGACAGCAGGACAACTTCATCCCGCCTCTCTCTCTCTCCCTTTCTTTCTCTCCGTCTCTCTCTCTCCATCTATGCCCCTCTCTCTTCTTCTTGAAAGGTTCAGGCCGCCAAAGGCCCCGCTCCGTAGAACTAAGTCGCACGCGCCCCCTGAGGGCTACCCACGCCAACACCCCAAGACTCAATACACACGTCGCGGGCGAAATCACGACATAACTGTGAAAACCGGACACACAATGAGAACATGAGAACCGCCGACCAACGAACGCCCTCCTCCCCTCACTACTCCCATACGAAGCAGCCACCGAGCCACTCCCCCCCCCCTTTCCACTTGCCTGCTCCAGAGGGGTCACCGACGACGACGTTGCCTGCAATGCTGGACTTTCGGCGGAATCGACTGAGTGACGACGCGGTGCGATGGCAGCCTTCCCGAACGCCGCAGCCGTGCGCGGAACCGCTGAGCTGCTTCGTCTGTCATTGGCGTCGTCGAAATCATCGAGCAATTGGTTAGATATCGCTCTTTACTTGGTTAGATATCGCTCTTTACTTGTGCGCAAGATGTGTTTATACACATGTCGATGTCAGATGCGAAGAAGCTCGGAACCGATGCACAGGATTCGCCATCATGAACTTACTCTATCTGTGTTGCCCGATTCCCTTGACACTGGGGGGGAGATTTCGTAGGTGAAAGCTAGACTTCCGCGAGAGGCGGAGAGATGGGTGGTACCCCCACTAGACCGGCATTCACATCTCGATAGCTTCACAACCAAGCTCGTGTCAACACCCAAATGGTGGTGTTGGGACAATTTCATCGAGGCCTTTTCCGTCGACGTATCGGTCTCTTCTCTTTCCGCGCGCCCCTTGGTTCCGGAGCAAATGAGCTTCGAAAGTCGACCTAGGGGGGGGGGGGTGCCATCTCTCCGCCTCTTACGGAACACGCTCCTCGACGAACATGCACTTCTGTTCGGACAAGAAGCAAGCTTTTGTGGTGGTTCAACACAGCCGCTCGTTATTGAAGACGTGCGGTTCAAGAAAGGCAACGCATACTCTCGGCGCAGCCTCCCGCTATCTCGATCGGTGCCCTGTCCCACCTCATTCGTTGGAAACTGCTCAAAAAGGCGTCGAAGGGGACGAGGCACTCATTACCGCGGCCATGCCAACCAATCGAACATTTCCACGAGCCTTGCGACGAACGCTCCGCAAAGCACGTCAGTTGTGCCCCCCCCCACCTACGACAAGCGCGACGCAAAACATCAGCCACGTTCCGGTAGCCTGATGGTTGACCCCTGTCACACGCCTACTGGAACAGAACAAGCCACCGCGTATGGCAAGAACCTGGGAGCTAGTTATGTTGTGAACTTCAGGCTCGAAAAAAAGTCGAAACAAAAGAACATCACGATGACACGAACCGGTGCTCAGCTATGCACATGTCAGTGCAGTGTCTGTCTAGGCTGAAACCCATATACAGTATTCGCTGTCTGGAGACACCTCATGGAGGTAACGGGCATCGCGCAAATAACAAGGTTTCGGTTTGATTCCCCCTCTGGTGTGAAAGTGAAAAACATCTTTGGCATTGGGCCTGGAAATGACCCAGTAGGCTACTGTATTTGGGGTTCCACGTAACCCGTGCCTCTCCATGAATCATGTCACTGATAGTTTGTCGATATATAAAACTTGATTTCTTCGCGTGTGCCGTCGTCCCCTTCGCCCTGTTTGGCCCCGGCTGATCACCATCAACTCATGTCCACGCGAAGGGTGTGTAGATCGGCGCCAGAATACATAGATGGGACTTTTAGTAGACGCTCCGTCTGTTTTTCTGTTAGATACACGTAGATTCGATTTCCATCCGCCGACAATCCCACACAAGGAAGCTGTATCTAGATATCTCGTCCCAAACAAACGCCAAAAAGAAAGAAAAATAAATGAATCGAGCACGGCGAAGAGCCGAATTTTATTTTTTTCGGTGGCGAAACCATTCAGCGGATGTATGCATAGCTGCTTGTAGTTGTAGGGGGAAGGACACAATGCAACTGCTGTGTGTACTGTATGATGCGAGGGGTTCGAGAGGCAGTAGAAAAAAAACGGGGGACAAACACACTAGGCGGAGAGGCACCCCGGCGGTTTTCTTGGATTAGAACCAAGGTCGGGCGGTGCATACAGTAGTACACAAGACGAGGGCCGCTACATATAGAGCAGGAGCACATGTATACGCCAATGTACATATTAATGTACAGCAGTAGTACGAAGTATATAGAGCCCCAGTCCCCAGTCAGAACAATTAAATCGCGTCCCAGGCGGTGGTACATTTGGTACGTATGCAGTGCGTGGTGGCAATGGGAGAGAGGCGGCTTCTCTCCGCACCCAACGGGCGTTATGATGTTATGAGTTGACGGTAGGGCAAGCCCCGTTGTTTTGGTCAAGATAGAAGCCACAGCGCTTCCCAGGCCCTCGATACACACGCAATATTCCAAACAAAAGGGCTGCAAGAATACGTTCGGAGCATGAACGGGGCGACATGTTTGGAATACAAAGGACATCAGGATGCATTTTTTACACATGACCCACCTGGACAACGCTACACCTACAGCAGCCGCAGCAGACAAAAAGTACGTACTCTCACGACCTGATGTGCTGCAATATGCAGCTACCAGCCCAAAATATTTCATGGCAATTCAGCAGCTACAGCGATAGGGTATCTATCTCCAAATTACCTGTAGGACGGCTTCGCCCGCCGCTGCCGCAGCTGTTGATGCTGCCCCTCCTTCGGCTGTTGTTGTCCAGAGCTGATGCTCTTATCCCCTCCTGTTTCCCCCTCCAGAGCCAGCGCCCCCCCTTCTCGTGTACGAGGCCCTTCCGCCTCCTTAGGAATGCTCTTCTTCCCGCCGTCTACTATTTTGTGATGGCTGTTGTTTCGTGCTATGCCCACCGCCGCCTCGTTCGTCGTGCAGAAAATCGGTTCAATCTTCCCCAACGCTACCACCGCTGTGCTGCTGCTGCTATGTTGGCGCGAAGAAGTCTCGTTGCTGCTGGCGCCAAAGCCGCCCGCCGCGCTACCCCTGCCCGAACAAGCGTCATCGGAATCCCTTGAGGGAGTCGTAGTAACACTACCGCCGCTGCCGCCGCCGCTGCCCGCCGCGAAAAAAAACACCCCACGGCTGAGATCTCCCTGCTGCAGCAGGAGCGGTGGCTTCGCCGGGTCAAAGGCATCGCCTGTTGCTGCTGGCCGCTCCGCCGCCGACCGGCCGTGCACTGCGGCCACCTCCTTCCTGCTCCCGCCGCATCCGAACACGAAGATTACGAAGTCAGCCCAGCTACCAGCGGCACAACCGGGCATCCGCATATCGTGTGATCGTCGCAAAGGATTTGGTCTAAGACCCTCAGAGCAGGGGGCCGTGAGGATCACCCTACAACAACAACCACGGCAGCAGCACAGCAACCAACCAACCCGGTTCGACGAGAGAGTGCACACCGTTTGGGTCTGCAACGACCTGCCTAAACCCTCCCTGCCCTCTTTATAACACAGTGTTGTTGCTGATGCCACCAACAGCAAAGAGCGCGCACGACTGCACCGGGAAGAACAGCAGAGACCCGCTGCTGTGCTGCATACCTCGCTTTTTCGAGAAAAAAACACACGATGACACACAACAGGTGTGTGATGAAAAACGAGGATACCACACAACGCACGACTATACTTCTCAACCTGTTGTAAAGACAACGACAACAATCCCAGACCCTCCCCCCCGCATCGAATACACTTCAACCAACTGCGAAGCGGGCGATCGTTGGGGGTCCTGATGGATACCGCAATCTCAACCATGGTTGATATATTCAGAACATTTCCGTAAACGTGTCCCATATCTCATCTATTATACACACACAGCAGACCTTGTACCTACATCTATATGTGGATAAGCCTTTCTTCGGGGTGTACGTAGACAATAGTTCGGGTAGTTGAGGTCCCGATGTTGGTCTTCAGCGTGCAGCGGCTCCCCCCCTTCCCGTGGACCGTGGCCTGGACTGGCTATCGATGGCGCTGATGATCGGAGCACAGCAGAGGGCCGGACCGTCAGCAGCAGACCGTAGAAGAATGGTGGTTCCTGGTAGGGAGGGAAAGCTGTGGAAGACGGAAAGCTGGAAAGCTGCTGACGGAGGATTTTTCGGGACTGCTGATCTTGGCCAATGAGATTCGCACCAACTGCAGCCAATCTGGTGTTGGTGTGGAAGATGGGGCGCGTGCTTTCTCAGCTTTCTCAGTGAGGTTGACTGTCACTGCTGGCACAGGTGCCGGGCGTAGCTGTAGCAAACAAGCACATATCGCTATACCCGAGGACAGGGTGGAGCTTGTCCTGCCGGTCTGGTTCGATCGAGTCGATTTATTTTCACTGACAGTTTACGTCCAAATGTATGAGTCATGAGTCCAGGTCGAGCGATATCTAATCTGCTGTGGCTGTGTAGTCTATCCAGCAGACTTTAGTTCCCCATGCTCGACGGCAGTGACTACTGTAAGTAAGACATTTTGCCTCGCGACCCCATGCTGGCGTTCCTTAAAAAACACCGGCGCTAAAAGTCCATCATGAACCAGTTGGTACTGTTGTAGTTCGCCCAGATAGTTGTGAAATGAGAAAAGAGGGCAGACTCTACGCATATCATGCGTCAACTGAAATCAGGAGAAACCAGAAGAATATCACTCGAGTCATATGTATGAAGTATGTAAATGTAGCCACAGGACTCAGGCGGCAAATCAACGGTTGGTTATACATTGTTGGACATACATGCTGCACGGGGCGATCTTCACGTCAAGAGGAAAGCAGTTAATGCATGTATGCACAGCAGTGTGCGCTGGTTTGGAAAGAATCTTCTGGCGCCCCACGAGAATCGTATCCTCGCGAGAACTACCACATGGTATATAGAGTTTAGTGTAGGATCCACAGCGGAGTTGTGTGGCTCCTATGCTATTTAGTCGACTTTTCATACTCATCGCCAATATCCGAGCCTGCTCCGGCGATGGCAAAAATGTGTGAAGTTCCCACAGCTTCAGATCGGGAAGGATATCCCACTCCTTCGACGACGTCCCAAAGAAGCAAAGGCGTTCCTCATGTGACACACCCATGGTGTCCCCATGTTACGGCAACTTTGATGTCGTACCTTGTGGCCCTAGGGTTCCTAACAGGTATGGCGGGCAAGGCAACTCGGAGAAATAAATATTGCTGAGCATCGAGCTGTGCTTGTACGCATGTCAACAGGCATGCGTGTGGCACACCTTCTCAGTAGCCACAACAACAAACGGCATGCTGACAAAAAAATTCCCCGTAACTTCACGGGAAAGAAAGATAGCTGGAGAACCTGAGGCTTAACCAAAGTCACACCAAGCTGATGGCTTCAACCGGCAACAACCCAGGTTGAAGTACAAGCTCCCAATCTCGCGCGATCTGCACCTTTCAAAGCGCTCGACTGAAGCTGGAGCAGGACTGATTTGATTACCAATCGCGTGGCAATGCGGGACCCGTGCATGAACTCTACAGTCAACGCTTACGCTTTGCAGGCCCTTGACATTTCAAAACGCTTCTACAGAAGTAGTGGACTGATCCACCCCACGTACGCCATCGACGATGACAAATGTGCAAACAGCCTCGGGCTGCTCGTAGATCTAAGAACGCTCCGCCGTCGATGTTCGAAGCCCGCGCTTCGACGGGCCTACGATCTACCCTGCACAGTGAAGACGTGTCTAGTCCTCTCCAGGTACTTTCCCCCGGGCTGCAGCAGGACCGATTCCACCCAACCCTCGTGGTTGACCGCGGCGGGGAAGTGCTGGGTTTCCAAACACACGGCGTAGTGCCGCGCGTGAGGCCTGTCGGCGGGATCTGCGAGGGGGCGCGGAGGGTGAGAGGTTTCTAGGTTGATTCCCGCCGAAAGATGGTGGAAAAACGACCATGACAACAGCAGCACATACGCACATGTTTGAGGTTCGTCGAGATTCTTGCCCAAAAATATGTGTAATTCCCATTTTGCAAATTTCAAAATACTCGAAATAAGCACAACGACATTGTTCATGTGAGTATTGGGAGTAACTGGGGTACACACCAACAGCATGCGGCCGACTCCACAACCACAAAAAACACCCCCCCCTCTCGAATATTTGTAGCTGCTGTGCCCCATGCGCCCCGATCCGGAGAGCCACCTTTGTTCAAGCCACGGCGTCTCCAGGGGGTACACGTCACGGTCTACTGCTATGACCTATTATAGCTAGAAAACAAGGGTGAGCCCAAAAAACACGGGATCTACATTGACCTACAGGTATCGTTAGTTGCTGTAGCTTCCTTTGGATACCGCTCATGGTCAGCCAGTATCGCAACTCTCCACTTCTTACGTACCTCGCCCTGCGTTGGGTAGCGACAGCAGTAAGAATCAACCGCTGCGTGGGTGAGTTTGACGAGACGCATCGCACGAGAGCTATTCCCTTCCCGAGTTCTGCTTCTCTGGCCTGAACCACTTCTCATCGGCGCATGGGCCGCTGGCGGGGAGCATGCACCTAGCCTTCCCGAGCACGCCACCAACACCAGCACATCGGCGGTATATTCTGGGTATCTCTGTCCTTTGGCTAGATACGAAAGGGAG